CCCCCAGACCCCACTGCTTGGTTCCCGGGACCTCATCTGCTGGTATCAGAAAGAATTGCTGGGACAAATGGAAAAGAAGTAGTGTAGCTGGAGACCCGGCGTGCGCAGACACCCAGCAGGAGCAGAGCTGGCGAGGGGCTGGGCAGGGGCCCGCGGGGGCCCAGGGAGCGGGGTGAGGTCTGAGGGCCTCAGGCACTTGCAGAGGTGGGAACGGCTGCGTCGGAGCAGCGGCTGTCAGGGTGGGAATGCGACTGCTGAGCGCTTGGGCATCCGTGGGGCAGACAGGATCCAGCTGGGCGGGCCAAGGGAAAAGCAGTGCAGGTGGAGAACAGCAGCTGTCACCATCCCTGGGGGTTTCCAAAGGTCACGTCCCCCCCACTCGCCCCTGCTGCCGCAGCTCTGGGGGCCACAGCTGGCATCGTGTGCCCCAGAGCAGATCCCACCTCAGCTGCCGTGACTCTGACCCAGCAGCAGGTCTGGGAAATTCACCAGCCTGCAAATCCATCTCATCCCCATAGCTCTCCTCTGCTGCAGTTTCGTAACTCGCCTGCTTCCCAGCACCATAATGCAAATAAAAAGTCCTGAAGCAGGCCAGTAAAATAACCCACACCCAAACTTAATAGGCTGAACCTGCTTCTTCTCTTCTGTTTCTGAAAAAAAAGCAAAGCAAACCAAAAAACTGCTGGTATTTCTCCCAGCCTCCCATGGATGTGGGCTGCTAAAAGTCACCGTGGAAAGCACACAAACAAGAGAGCACAGACATGGTGCCACTGCCATCGTGCCACAGTCCCCTGTCCCAGCCCAGCGAGCCAGCCGAATCCAGGCAGAAGCCGTGGCAGGTAGTTCAGTACAGAGGAAAAATAGAAATCTCAGGAATCCCAGCAGGTCATCGCTCGTGACCGTCCACCGGGGCGGCTGGCGGCCGCTGCAGAGGGGATTCCCCAAGGCACTGCAGTGCAGTAGTGCAGAAGTAACAGGCAGGAGATGGCTGAAATGGGGGTGGCAGAACTGGGAGGTCCCTCCGGAAGATCACTGCGTGTGGAAGTAGATAGGCTTGACTTTTCCAGACAGGATCTTGGGAACCTGCACAGAGATGATCTCGGCCATCATTTCAGGGTAGTCCACGCTCACCATGTGTGCCTTGATTAAAAGGTCAAATGTAAACTGATGCAGATCCTTGGCAATCTGGGAAAGGAAGAAAGCGTGTTACAGGTGAAGCCCTGGTGAGCGATGCTCAGGGTGGGCGCTGCGGGCACCCCAGGCCAGGGCTGCACCTCCCTGGCCTGGCTCCCTGGCCAACACTGCCCTGCTGGCAGCTCTCAGACCTCGGGTCTGCAGCCCGAGGATGAGCAAGGGAACCACCCAGCCAGGGAGCACTGAAATGCTGGGGTTTGAACCCCCAGCCCCGAATTCAGGCTGACATGTGGGTGATTCCCACAGCCCTTCATACAGAGGTGCTGAGTTTGCCTTTCAGCTCCCCCCAGGGTGCGGCCGGCCCTGCAGGGAGAGCCAGAAGGGAAATGAGCCCCAGGGGTCCTGCATTGAGTTGACAAAGGTCAGGGGTCTGCTGGGGGATAAAAGCTGGGACCACTTGCACTGTGTATTGGTTTCTCTTCCTGCTGGCTGTATCATTCTTGTTGGGCCTGGTCATTGGCAGAACAAGCACCGAGTGTGTTTTGCCATGGTCCTTCACACTCGGGCACTACTGAGTCCCTACAGAATGGGGATGTATAAAACTGGTACTTCCTTACTCCCACAGAAACTTGTCTTACAGATGCTGCTCACCACTTACTAAGAATGACTTTTTCCTTGTGGACAGATAACTGCATGGGCCTGGAGCTGAGCCCCAGGGGAGAGGGAAGGGCTAGCTCACCATGCAGCCATGCAGCTTTAAGTCACAAACAGAGAATTTATTTTCACTGCTGCCATCAGACAAGATTCACTGGGGGCACTGAGACTTTCAGCTGTTCTGCTAGGCTGACGATGGAAAAGTATTGTTTACAAGGAGCTTTTCATGACTAAAAAAGGAAGGCCATAAACCCAGGCACAAGAGTGGCACAGAGAATTTTCACTCCCTCAGTAGAGTTCGTGTCTGTCTTTTCTCTGTTGCCTGACCTGGGAGCACACTGCAACACTGTCCCTGCAAAGGTGTGCCTGCACTTAAAAACAAACCACAGAGGGTCACAGAATCACAGCACAGCCCAGGTTGGAGGGGACCTCCCAATGTTACCAAGGTGCAACCTTCCCTGGGAAAGGGAGTCTGGGTGAGGCTGCCCAGCACTCTGTGCAGTTGCATCTGGAAAACCTCCAGAGACAGGGACTACCACCTCCCTGGGGACATCGTTCCAGTGAACGACTGCTCTCACTATAAAAAGTTCCTTTGTTATATAATTTCTTGTGTGTACAGACAGACGTTTCACTGTCCCCTCTTACAGGATGCACGGAGTCCAGGACCTTGGTGAGCTGGTAAAAGCGCCGAGAGCAGGAGGTAGGGTTCTTCCTCTTGCAAGCGATGATACGGTCGAGTTCCTTAATGTAATTCATTCGAAGCTCATCAAAGAGCTTCTGGTTCTTCAGGCCATCCACTGGAACTGGATGGAACATGGGAAGGAAACGGTAAGAGCTGCCCAGAGAGCAGAGAGCTCAAAGAGCAAGAGGAAGGCTGAAGAAGTGGTCAGTGCAGACCTAAGAGGAAAGATCTGTCCACCAGCTCTGCTTCTGCCGTGGCCTGCACTCTGACTGACTTGCTGGGCCACTGCTGGCCCAAGGACCACGCTCAGCGCCCCTTAAAAGGGGCAGGGGCTGGAGTGCAGCCCCTCTCCTGCTTGGCAGCTGCTGCTCAGAGGCCCCGCGATGACAGCAGGCAGGCTGGGGAGCAGCCCCGGGGGGCTGAGTGGGGGGACTGCTGCACCCC